GTGGAGAAGGTGCGTAAGAAGCCTCTGGCGCTCCTCCAGGGACTGCTGCAGGTCGTCCATGGTGCTGCGCAACTGCACGGTCAGCTCCTCCCGCTCCTTTTGCAGCCTCTGCAGCTCCATCATCAGGGTCCTGGATTTCATCTCGCTTTGTATCACCTGGTTTTGCAGCTTCTGGATCCGCCGCTCCTGCTTATCTCGCTGCCTGGCGGCAAATCGCACCGCCAGAGCCAGCGCGCTCCAAGCGCACGCCCTCTTGGCAGAGCGGGGCAAGCGCGGGTCTCCCAAGATGACCTGGAGCCTGTCCTCCACCTCTGGCCAGTGCAGCGAGCGGCAGGCCGAGTAGAAGTCGGACCTGCCGCCATTCCTGAGGACCTCCTCATTGATGAACATGACCACATCCATGTGGCGGAAGCCGCTGCTGGTGTCCTCGAGGTTGATAGCCATGGACGCTGTGGCCTAGTCTGCAAGATGCACCCCAAAGAAGTATCGGCTACCCCCTTAGGAAGCAGCCACCGCGAGGTCAAGCCCTCACCTCGTTCCTCAGTCCAGTCCTGTCCACCTTGTGGGCCTTCTTGCAAATTATGGTGCTGCAGAGCTCTGGACCGTGCAGTGCTCGCTAATGGCGCTGTCTCCTATGTGACGAAGATCAAGCTCTGCCGCAAGGGCTGCTGGGACCAGCTTTTGCACCTTAGTGCCCCTCCTACTCCACAACCTCCCAAATGTTTTTAGTGCCTCAGCTCCCTTCTTACCCCTTCAACTCCCTAACTTCTTTTTGTCCGTCAGTGCTCTGCCTACACCCAAAACACATCCCCCCAAAGTAGCTTTCATGCATGAGCGCCCCTCCTACCTCCTCAATCCCCCAAATGGCTTTCGTGCATAAGCACCCCTCCAAATGCTCCTGGCCAACTTTCCCGCCTCAGAGCCCTCCTCGCCACACACCCCCAATTTTCGCGCCCGAGTGCACCCCTCCCCATGAGTTGTCTGTGAATTCTGTGTGCAGCCATCTAAGAATCTTGTCCTAGAACTCGGGAACTCCCACACTTCACCTACACGATCAATTTCTAATCCGTGAGGTGGATAGATTGGGTGGGTGTGTTATTTTGCTCATCTTCCCTTCCACACTACATTGCGGTATCCGAAAGGAACCCTGGTGACACGGTGGATTAAGCATTCTAGGGACAAAGATGGGCAATCTCCTCCTGTGCGATTAACTGAAAACCCACCTGAGAGTCAACTTTGGGTCAGTCTCCACGGTACACAACATGCTAACCCAAAGTTCAGGTCTTCAAACCTACTGTCCTTTCCTTGGTAGAAAAGTGAAGTTGTCTACTTCCTCCAGAACACCTAAGGGTTAGTTCTGCTCTGTCCAACCCACTCAAAGGCAAAGGCAATGAAGGAACCCTGCTGGCACCATTTGGTTCATTCTGAGGCTCCTACATGAACCAGTGGTTGGCTGTTTGGAACCCACCTTCGGTCCTGGGCAAGAAAGGATCTGGCATTCTCATAGAGGAAGGTTTTTATCTATTGTGCAGAGGGTAACTGTGAGGGATACTTGACTCCACAGCCTCTAACAGCAACAACCAACTTCTGTGGGATGAAATTGATCAAGCATGTCTTCAAAATGAATTAATAATAGCTGATGATTAGAATCAAAGAAGTATCAATAGTCGGATAGTATGACTTTGGTGGTAGAAATGAAGCTGGACTTGCACAATAGAATCTTGTAAGACTTGCTGTTATTGTTGTGTACGGTTGAGGAGGAACCTACCCATAGCTGACCCTCTAGCTATTTTTCAGAGGCAGTAAATCTCATGGGAGGATATTGCCCTCTTTCTCCCTCAGAGCAGCTGATGGATTAGAGCAGTGTGAATTTGTGTCAGCCGCACAATTCTTGCCACTAAGCCACGAGACCTGCCGCTTGTAGGACTAATGACTTACGAATTTTAAAACACACTTTGTGATAAATGTTCACTCAAATACAATGGATTTTAAAAACAAATTATAAATGTCAACTAGCCTTTGCAATTCTTCCCTAGGTGTCATAGAGCTGACAATGACTAAAGATGATAGAAAATTGATGCCTTTAAGCTGTGGGGCTGGAGAAGAGTGTTGAATATAAAATGGACTGTGGGAGAACAGATTCCTCCTAGAGAGGTTGAAACCAGGATGCTCCTTGGAGGCAAGGATTTTGAAGCTCTGTCTGACTAATTTGGACATATTACAGTGAGGGACTAATCCTTGGAAAGAGACATCATGCTTGGGAGGGTGGAGGGACAGCACAAGAGAGGAAGAACGCCTATGAGATGGATTGATTCAGTGACTGGGGTAATGGGGGTAGGTGTGTTGGAGACAATAAGGTTGACAGAGGAACAAGCAGGGTTTACGGCTGCTGTACATAGGTTTGCTATCAGTCACAATTGACTCGAAGGCACATCAAAACAATGACCGTAAAACTTGTTTTTTACTGTAGAGACCTTGTCTGACAGAATACACAGGGGCAAATTGACTTGATCTGTGGGAAAATACAGTGGAGAAGCTCACTTTTAGTAGTCAGAAAAAGGCTAGGGCTGATTATTGAATACATCAGCACTTATTTATGTCTGGGTTCAAACTGAAAGAGAACAAAATGAAAACAAGTGCACAAAAGGTCAAACAAGATGGTCAATATGTATTACCTGAATTTAGAGACTATCCCAAGAAGAGACTGGTATGCATTAAGAAATTGTACAATTATGTAAACTATACTGATTTGAAAAAACCCAAATGTTATTTAAAAGACAGGAAGAACAAATTAGAGGTGATATATTATTATTATGGTTAGCACAGGAATCCAAAATTAAGGTTGCATAGAGAAGTGTACTCGGGGTGGGGGTGGGGGGGAAGGGGGAATTGTATACTAATGAAGGAATTTTTTTTTCCTTTTCCTTTTCGGAGAGGGGAGCGGACTGGTGGGGAAGGGTGGGCAGGGAGAAAAGTGCAGCAATGAATGAATGGAAATCCAAGACCTCTGTAAATGTCTATTAAAATTAATTTTAAAAAGAGGGGGGAAAAAAGACAGGAGGAAAACAAAGAACAACATGGGTGTCAAAAGGCTCTGAAACTTGGTCTTGTACACAGGGAGGTTAAAAGTGAAAGGAAGACATGATGAAATAAGAGAGCTTTCAAGAACAGGAGCTTTCAAGGCTTTCAACAAGAGAAGACAAAGCAAAGTATTCCTAGGATACAGGTAGCAGGGAAAGGTTGCCCTCCTTTGATCCCATGCTTAACACTCTTCAAGCTGGAAGAATTGAAGAAAAACTTCAAGGCTCAATTTGCAATACTCAATGATTTTATGTACATTTGTATTGAATTAGAGAGGAAATATCAAAAGAAATATGAAGGAATACATAAAATTACTGTACCAAAAAGAATTATTCAACATTAAGCCATTTTAGGAAGTAGCATATCATATTAAAGGTACTAAAGGAATAAGATTAGGCTGCAATGAAGGTATTGGTGTGAAACAAGATTCCAGAAATTAATGGAATATTAACTGAAATATCTCAACACAAAGATGAAGCCATGCACAAACCCATATATCTATACCAAGAAATTTAGAAGAGCGCCCTCTGGTACACATGACATGAAGAGATTTGTTCCCATTCAAAAAAAAAGTGGTCCAACAGAATATTGGAATTATAAAACAAGTAATGATTATGTGCAAGTAAAGTCTTGGTCAAGTCTTCCTGTAAAGTCAGAACTGACTCTCTAGTGGGTTTTCCAAGGCTGTAAATCACACAGGAGGAGACTGCCCATCATTCTCTGGCAGAGAAGTTGGTGAATTTGAACATCCTGCATTTCAGTTGACAGCACAACTCCTTAACCATTAGGCCACACCAGAGGTTCTTTAAAATGAACAGATTGTTGGTTGGGTATTTTTTTTTTTTAAGCCACTGACAGGAAACTGGCAGAAAATCAAGGTAATGAAATGAGGGATATCATTGCTCATGTCAGATGAGTAGAGAGTTCTAGAGAGATGGTAGTTGTCGTTGTGTATTATCAACTTGGAACAGACACATAGCTGACCCTCCAGCGGGTTTTCAGATGCAGTAATCGCATGGGAGGAGATTGCCCATCTTTCTCCCTCATAGCAGATGTTGGATTCAAACCTCATGCCTTTGGGATTGCAGTACAGATTCTTACCACTAAGCCACCAGAGCTCACTGTGATCTCGAAACACCAGAGAGATGTTTACTTGTGTCTTATTGATTACACAAAGATATTCATCTGTGTAGAGCATAATAAATTATGGATAATGTTGAAGAGAATTGGAATTCCAGAACACTCAGTTGTGCTCATGAGGAACCTTACATAGGCAAAGAAGTAGTGTTTTAAACAGAACAAAGAGAAAAATGCAGGGTTTAAAATCAGAAAAGATATGTCAGGGTTATATTCTTTCACCATACTTATTCAATCTGTATCCTGAGTAGATAATCTAGGAAACTGTTGATGGTGAAGAATGTAGCATCAAGATTAGAGGAAGACTTATAAATAACCTGTGATATGCAGATTACACAGCCTTTCTTGCAGAAAACAAAGGTCTATAACACGTATTGATGAAAATGAAAGACTATAGCCTTCAGTGAAATAATTACACCGCATCATAAAACAAAAATCATGGCAAATGAAGCAATAAACATTATCATGATAAATGGAGAAATGATCGATGTTGTCAAGGATTTAATTTTACCTCAATTCACAACCAACATCCATGGAAGCAGCAGTCAAGAAATTAAATGCCATTTTGCATTGGGGAAAAATCTGCTGTCAAGGACCACTGCAAAGTGCTTTAGAACGAGGATGTCCTTTGAAAGAGTAAGCTGTGCCTGACCAAGTCATGTTATTTTTGCATCTTCGCCTATGCATATGAAGGTTGGACAATAATGAAGACTGAAAAAGAATTGATACCTTGAAGAATACTGAATACACCACGGACTGACAAAACAACAAACAAATGTGTCTTGTAAGAAATGCAGCCAAAGTGCCCTATCAAAGCCAAAATTAGGGGATGTTGTCTAATGCACTTTGGGTATGTTTTCCTTGCAGAGGAACATAATGCTGGGGAAAGTAGTTCTTCTCTGCTGACAAGTCAGATTCAACTCATAGCTTACTCTTCAGTAGGTTTTCGGAAGTTTGCAAGTGGGAAGATTGTACATCTTTCTCTTGCAGAGCAGCGGGTGTATTTTAACTGCCTGCCTTTGCATTGGCAGCACAGTTCCTTACCACCAGGACACTAGAGCTCCCTAAGGTAGAGGATCATGTAAAAAGATGAAAACTAATTGTACCTATGTAGTTATGGTTGGTAGAGGATTGGGGAAGTTTTGGCTTTGTTGTACAAGAAAAGTTTTGATGATGATAACTGAGAAAGTGTTAGAGCAGTACATTGATAGGGACTTCCCAGAAAT